AGAAGGGGAAACCTCCCCCCTCCCCTCCACGTCGGGGTGGCCGGTGATGCTGCCGAGTCCCCTGGCAGGGCAGCTTTAAAGCGTTTCCTTCCTTGTCTGTTTTGTTTTCTGGCTGTAGAGACATGAAGCTGAAGGAGGGGGATCGTGATGCTGCCGAGTCCCCTGGCAGGGCAGCTTTAAAGCGTTTCCTTCCTTGTCTGTTTTGTTTTCTGGCTGTAGAGACATGAAGCTGAAGGAGGTGGATCGCACGGCCATGCAGGCGTGGAGCCCTGCCCGGCAGCACCCCATTTACCTGGCCACAGGTGAGTGTCTGGGAGGCACCTGCCAGCAAAGTGCCTGTGAGGGGGGAGTTGTAGGAGCCGTTCGGTGCCCTGAGGGCTGGAGCAGGGCATGTGGGGCTTTGGTGTTGTGCTGTGCACGTCCATAACAAAGACCCTCTTTATTTTCCTGCCAGGGTGAGGTGACAGCAACCCTGACCTTCCCTGTGCCTTGCTGCTCATTTGTGACTTCTCTGTGGTCAGGGGCAGAGGAGAGAGGTGCCTGCCCAAAGCTTTTCCTGCTCCTACAGGCCCATGAGGGAAAATCATGGGGAGAAACAAAAGCCTGAGCGCCTTTCAGGGTCCTTTTTTTTGGCACAGATAGTGGTTCTTTGCCCCAGGCGTGGAGCCCTGCCCGGCAGCACCCCATTTACCTGGCCACAGGTGAGTGTCTGGGAGGCACCTGCCAGCAAAGTGCCTGTGAGGGGGGAGTTGTAGGAGCCGTTCGGTGCCCTGAGGGCTGGAGCAGGGCATGTGGGGCTTTGGTGTTGTGCTGTGCACGTCCATAACAAAGACCCTCTTTATTTTCCTGCCAGGGTGAGGTGACAGCAACCCTGACCTTCCCTGTGCCTTGCTGCTCATTTGTGACTTCTCTGTGGTCAGGGGCAGAGGAGAGAGGTGCCTGCCCAAAGCTTTTCCTGCTCCTACAGGCCCATGAGGGAAAATCATGGGGAGAAACAAAAGCCTGAGCGCCTTTCAGGGTCCTTTTTTTGGCACAGATAGTGGTTCTTTGCCCCTCCTTGTGCTGCTTTTGCTGTTGCACTTGTGTGTGCGTCGTGGCCCTCTCACTGCTGGGCACACCTCTTTGCAGGTACCTCAGCTCAGCAGCTGGATGCAACCTTCAGTACAAGTGCTTCTCTGGAGATATTCGAGTTGGACTTGTCAGACCCTGTGCTGGAGATGAAGTCCTGTGCCACCTTCTCCTCTCCTCACAGGTGAGCAGTGGGGTTGCAGGGGAAAAGTGATGGCTGTGGAGCTGTTATACGTGGTGCGTGTGAAAAGGCCACCGGGTGAGTTTTGTCTGCAGTTGTTCAGGAGGAGCAGAAGTTCAGCACTGAAGGATGGAGGCCCACGAGTGCCACAGGTGTTGTGGGACTGTGAGGAGTCACTGTGAAGGCAGTGAGAGTGGACTCAAAGGAGTTGCCAGCAGCTCATGCTCTGATATAAACCTAGAAAATCTGACGTTGGGCGGTAGGTTCAGGTGTGTATGCAGACTGTCTATCTTGGGGAACCTCTGGGATTTTCCAGAAAGCAGAAGGAAATGTGAAACGCTGGAAGTGCAGTGATGGCTTCTCACATTGCCCCCTCCTGTCTGCGTTTAAGTGTTTCAGGGAGACTCCTGTAACATAACCAAACTGGGTCATGTTGGGTGTGTAGTATCATACCTCACCTTGCTGCTGGGAAGCCAAGTTCCTGACTGTACACTTAGCTCTTTGCTTGCCCAAATAAATATTGCTCGCATCAGAGTGTCCTGGTTTTCATTTCAGCAGCACTTGTAGCAGCTCTCTGGGGGCCACTGGTCGTGAGTGAGCTGAAACAATGTCATGAGTAGCAATTGATTTGACTTGAGTCTTCATTGTCTGCTCTAAAACTGGTACTTCAAGACCTAAGGACCTACATCTGTTTCCTAAAGGTCTTGACCAAATGCATTCTGCTGATTTCCTAGGGGTGAAGTGTTGCCTGTAAACAACTTCAGAGGGGTAGAAATTGTTTGCGTTTGCAGGGACTTGTGAACCCAGTTAAGGATGCCCTCCTGATTTGGGTGGATAATGGTGATGGTAGCTTGTGCAGGAGGAAGCACGAGGTGTTAGGCAGCTGGCTTTGTGCCCTGTCAGCTTTGTGGTGATTACTTGGGCTGGCAGAGCAGTTGGGCAGCTCACAATCTCTGCCCTGCAGTTGTCTGAGGTTTAGCAGGTGGGAGAACCAGCCACAGTCTTTGTTCAATGCCCTGCACTAGGGTTATATCTGATCTTAACATGTCCTGTTGACCTTCTGAGAATGGGATGTGGTGTTTGACATTTTACAGTTCCCTTGTTTTAACTGTGACTGAGATTTTTCAAGGCTTGCCAAGTGACATCTTGCTTACTGAATTTCAAAAAACACTTCTTATAGTCAGGAAAGTATTTGAAAAGTACACTTTGAATGTCCTTCCCTTGGTGAGCAACACTAGAATTTTATTTTACCCCACAAAATGTGTTATAAAGGAGGTTGGCTATTCATTTTTTTTAATTAAAGATAAGTGCTCCAGGTAGCAGTCAGGCTTTAGTTTGGTTTGCAGCAAATGAAAACGTCTGGGTGATTAAACCCACAAAAGATAAATTTGCAACAAGCTTTGTTAATTGTCCTTCAAGGCAAGTTTTGCATTGCAGGTTTTTTTATAGAGCCACACATTATCTTGGCAAGAGCAAAGGGCAAGAGCAAAGTAACTGCACAGTTAACTTGTGGGTTTTTTTTTTGTTCCTCACCATTTTCTGCCTTTCTTTTGCGTTATCTGAAGTACTGTGTAATCTTGCAGGTGCTGTAATACTAGGGCCTGGACAACTCTGTCAGTTGTTCCATATCTCATAACCTTGTGTCAGTAGGTGCAGGAGTTTAAAAATCATACCCAGGGAAACGGTCTGTCTGATATCACAGACCAATTTCCATTTGTAGCTTTGTCCTTTGGTAAAAGTTCTCTGAAATCTGAACACTCTACCAGGAGACTGAGCACTTGGCTGTTCCAGTGTTTCTCCCCCAGTGTGTCCTCTTTTTCTGCCTACTGCATGATGTATTTTATCATCCTGACATTGCAGTGATTTAAAGAAATTACATGAAGGTTGTCCAGAAATAATAAAACTGTTAGTAACACAGTGAATGCTAAATTAACTCTTTGGTTTCTGTGGGTTTGCTCTCTGCTTACAGAAGAGATAAGGGGAGGGTGTCTTTTTGAGTAGAAGAATTTCATTCTTTGCATGGCTGAATGCACAGGAATGTTGTTTGGTTTGTGCAGCAGTTTTTGGAGTTGAAGGGAATTTGAGTATCTGCAGGTGGACACAGTGGTGTGAAAATACTTCATTTCTGGAAGTATGTTTAATTCCTCTTGATTTAGCCTGGAAAATAGATTGTGGTCCAAGACACACGTGTCTGTGACGTGACTGAGCTACTTGCTGAGCCTCCAGTGCAGCAGATGAAATGCACACCCAGAAGCACAGATGTGGAATTTTTCTACTTCTACCTTTTATCTCTTCTGTTAGAGTTGCTAACAAACTGCAAAGGTTCACCTCCAGGCTGTGATTGGATGGGCTTAGAGTCCTTAATTTGATTACTCCTGTTTAGCAAAGGTGAGCACAAGATTGCAGAGCCACAGAGTGGTGAGGGGTGGAAGGGACCTCTGAAGACCATCTAGTCCAACCCCCCTGCTAGACCAGGATCACCTATAGTAGTTACTACTCCAGAGCAGTAAATCCTTAGCTTTCTTATTTAATCATCCTACAATGCCTCTTCGTTTGGACACAAGGAACACAATATTGTAAAACATAACTACATAGTACCTTGTTGCTGCTTTGTAAATCATGTAACTGTTGAAAACAAATTTGTTCCTAGTATTACAAGGAAAATTTTAAGGAGGTTTACATAACTTAGCAGTATAAAAACAGCTTTCAGTACTTTCCTCAAGACTACAGCAACACACAGATGCCTAAGAAAACTTGTTTCTCCATGTACTCTTACGAACCTGTTTGTGTTCCTGACTTAGGTATTTCTCTGCAAGGAAAACAAATTTTCGTGCTGTTCACCTCCTGCTGTAACACCATGTGGTCAGAATATTTCACAGCCATTTGTAAAATGAACTGCTAAGTAAGCCATTCACAAGGTTTAGCCAGTACTAAAAAGTATACACACTTAGTCTATTTATTATTCAGGATTTTAGTGTTCACTTATAAGGAAGGGAAAAAGTTGTAATTCCTCTTCTGCCATTTTTAAAGCTTTACTTTACATTTAACTAGAGATAAAGTTATGTAAAGTCTGTACTTGCAGCTAGGAGATGAGATGTTGCTGGTTGTGCTGCATTTGGGTGACCATTGTGTTTCTGATGGAAGGGTTTTTAAGTAGAGAGACATACCCTTGAGGAGAAACGCAGGCAGAGCTTTTCTAACACGTCTGCTCAGTTAGCAGCAGGGCTGGAACTTGAGCTGGAGTGGGTAAAGTGTGGAGCTGGTGGTGGATGGTTGTAGACAGTGGGGACCTCTGTGTCTTACAGGTACCACAAGCTGATCTGGGGGCCGCACAGCATGACCTCGGGTGAGAGAGTCTGTGGAGTCCTGATTGCTGGGGGTGAAAATGGAAATGTCATCCTGTATGACCCAGCCAAGATCATGGCTGGAGACACTGAAGTAATAATTGCTCAGAAGGACAAGCACACAGGACCAGTAAGAGCACTCGATGTCAACATGTTCCAGGTTGGTTTTCTGCTGTTCTTCATCCCATACTGTCACAGACAAGTGGCCTGTCTTAACTTGTAACCCTAAATGTTTCTGTTCCTTCACTTCCCCTGAAAAGCATGAACTGAATGTGGTGTTTGAGTGCCTGTTTGTATTTATTAAGGAAAAATCTGTCCTGCTAACTGGCATTTCAGGATGAGGAATGACAGAGTTTAAGATGTGTGGTTCATTCCTTCCCCTACTCAGTTTACGTTGTGGGTCTTTTTAACTCTGCCTACCTGTAGAGATGGTGTCCTGTGGTGTTACCAACCAGTCTCCTTTTTTAGCACCTGTGTATTGTGCCAATTTTTTTCTTGCCACACAAGGAATATTTGGGTGCTGTCACTCGTGTTTCCTTTTACATTAGATTTTAGGTATCTCTTCTGGGGGCTGGGTAGGATCATTCTTCCAGACAATAGGCATTGTTATTTAGAAAGAGGAGACAACAGGGAACATGGGGATGTGGCTTCTCTAGCAGAAGAGCTCTCAAAACCAGAAAGCTTTCCTCCATCTCTAAGGAATGTTTGCTACCTCCTTAGATATGGTGGGTTGTTTTTGCCTTGTCACCACCAGCTGTGTGAGAATTCAGTTGACTTTGTTTCCTAAGTGCACTTCTGTCTCTACATGCCTGCTTTCAGCAAGGCCTGTGTTCCTTGTGTGCTCTCTGAATCACTTCCGTTCTTGCCCATTATGGAATAAGGACTTGCTTTTCACCAGCCTTGGGATGTATTTGGTGTGCACTGGAGGAGCACTCTACAAAACAGGGATTTTTGTCTTGGCATGCCAGTCTAAGACAGTATATGGACTGTTTAAATTAATTCCATCTTGCCTACAATCTCAAAAATACTTGCTGTTTTCCCTAAGCTGCTCTGTGTGAGCCCAAGGCTGTACCCTGAGCAGAAACGAGCGTGGTCCCATCTGTCTAATGCCTCCCAACAGCTGAGACTGTGAAAGCTGGTGCTGAAAACACTCTTAACATCTATTAATGTGTCTTACAGACTAATCTGGTAGCCTCTGGTGCTAATGAGTCTGAAATCTATATCTGGGACCTGAACAATTTTGCCACACCAATGACACCAGGAGTGAAGACACAGGTACTGGATTTGTGTTTGTTGAATGCTGCAGAGCAGACTAATGACAACTATGCATGTCACTGAAGTTGAGAGCTCACTTAACCCTGAAGTTCCAAAGGTTGTTTTTTTCAAAGGCCAGGGGGTGGGGAAAGCCTTTTGAAATCTCTACTTGGGTTGCAGTTAATTATACTTAACCATGAGCTACATTTCTGGCGATGTTAGATGCAATCCTGAAGATCCCTTCAGGATCCCTTCAGATCACCAGAAGCAGATCTCTCTATTATTTATTAATTATATTAATTATCTCTATATTTTATATATCTCTCTATATTAATATATTATAATATACTAATACATATTATGTATCTCTATATATTAATTATCTCTATTTTATTAAAATCTCTTCCTGCATGTTATTCTCCAATGGCTATCCCAACAGCCAACAAAAATAAACCTTCTAGCAGTACTTATTTTTTGTAACATACTTATTAGACTGTGGGATTTGGGATATTTTTTGCCTTGTGACATGCCTTCTACTCAAAAGCATCCAAGCAGGAGCCCATGTCCTTAAGGAAGGTACTCACTGAGGGGCAGCATAGGTAGCTTTCAGTGAAGGCTTTTGGAAGGAAGGCAGTAGTGGCAGCACAGTTTTGCCACACTGTGTCTAGCTGTGACTTTATGGCCTGTTCCCTACAAGGGTGACTGGATGCTGCTGCTTTTCTAGCCCCTGCAGTCCAGTTTTGTGGCTGTGCCTCTTAAGTCCAAGCGTGCACGTGCAATGAGTGGTTTGCTCTGCTTCCCATGCAGCAGCCCTGGATGTGCAGTCATGTTTATTCACAACAGACCTGCAGTTCTGGCTGGCTGCACAAGCAGTTGATTCGTTTCTTCGTGTGGTGGGATTTTGTTTCCTTTTTTTAAACGGCATTTGGCCAGGGATAGCTCAGGTATCCCCTTAGTCTTTGGGAAACGTTGCGTTTTATCGAGCAACAAGTAAGAATGAGCTGAGCCTCCCAGGTCACAGCACCTCTCAAATATCCATAACCATTGCATGTTTTCTAGTCTAGCTCTGCATGTTTCACTGTGTGCATGAAAGAAGACTGTGAAGGTTCAGATTGAGGAAAATAGGAGGAAGATAAAAAGCAGCTACTGAGAAGTCAGAAGATGAGGCAGTAGGTTTGGCAGTTACCTCCATGGGTTTCAGGGAGTGTTTAATTGCTGTCCTTCAGGGCCAGTGATTTAGCTTGTCTCTCTTAAAGATCTCTGGGGGAAAAACAATCAATAGCCTTTTGGACTTTGTGCAAGAGGTGGAAGAATGGGAGGAAGTTGTTTCAATGCCTGTACCTTTCTGTAGCTGCTAAAAAACTGTGCAAGAAGTTTGTTGTTAACTAGAGAATGGATTTATTACTGCGTGATAATTTGGGGGCAGCAAGGAGAGGAAATGGGATTAGAAGTGAATGGGATTCAATTTAAAGACTTAGTTTAAACTCTGAGGGTCTGGATACTTTGTTTAGTTTGAGTTGTTTATTATCATATGGGCATTTTGGAGGACACTCACCTAAGTTAAAGATCCCTGTATAAGAGTTTTAATGTTTAATAGTAATTTTTTAGGCTGGGAAGTCTTTCAGTTCAGATGCTTAATGACAACTGGAAACAACAGTGCAATGAGGACTGGGCTGACACTGCTTTTAATTCTCAGACTTAAGGTAGCAGTCAGTAGGGAATATAAAGACCCTCACAAAATTCTTCCAAGCAAACATTTTTGTAAGTCAAAACCTAATTATCCAAGGCAAAAGAGCAGTTCAAATACCTGGTTATACTTTCATGGTGTAATTTTCTGGTTTTGAAAACAGTTGTGCTTAGTCTTCAAGTGACCAGTGTATGTAAAGCAGAAGATGCAGCTATCAGAGAAATACTAGCAGCTTGTAAGTCAGAGTTTTCTGGCACTCCACCCTGGAGTGTGTGTACATAGGAAACCAGAGCACGTGTGCAGTGCCGAGGGGGAGTCTCCTAGCAGGTGGGTCATGTAGCAAGTTCTGAAAATAACAAGTTTTGAGTCTTTGATTTGGAAAGCTTGTGACAGGCTGTTTTCTGTGTGTGCAACAGCCTCTTGAGGACATCAGCTGCATCGCCTGGAACAGGCAAGTCCAGCACATCCTGGCATCTGCCAGCCCCAGTGGCCGAGCCACCGTGTGGGATCTCAGGAAGAACGAGCCCATCATCAAAGTCAGTGACCACAGCAACCGGGTGAGTTGGTGCTCGTGCAGCTGCCTGGGTGCTTGTGGGGAGATGGGGAGAGCCTCTTGGCGTGTGGGGCAGGTGATAGCACGTGGTTTCCCACAGCATTCTCCTAGAGAAACGTTTGGCTGCTCGTGGCTTGAATGGGCACACGCTTTGCGGGGTTAAAAACTGGTTGGATGATGGGTCCAAAGAGTTGTGCTGAATGGGGTTCAATGCAGTTGGTGGCTGGTCACTAGGGGTGTTCCCCAGGGCTCAGTGCTGGAGCCACTTATTGGTGATACAGGTAAGGAGACAGAGTGCACCCTTAGTAAATGTGCAGATGACACTTAATCTGGGTGGAAGTGTTGATCTGCCTGAGGGCAAAGGGATCTAGTCAGGCTTTATCCGTGGGCCAAGGGCAATGCCATGAGTTTCAGTGAGGCCAAAATGTCAGGTCCTGCACTTGGGCCACAACAACTCCCAGCAGTGCTACAGGCTTAGGGAGGAGTGGCTACCACAGAAATACGTATACTCAGTTAGTCAGAAATGACATGTTTTTGTCTGCTGAAGAGATGAGGTTGCAGCTAATCTCTGGATGAGCACATTTAGCTTTGCAGAGCAGGTGGCATGATGACTTAGTGCATGGGCAGAGGGGGATTCCTTCATGGCATCACAGCTGGGATAAGCACAAGGGTTGAGCCCTGGCAGAACAGGTGACTGATGGAGCTGGGGTCTGAGCTCTTGCTGGTCTGGATGTGGAAATGGGGACAGGCTGCAGCCAAGCTTGGAGAAAGCAGGATCTGTGGTAGAGAGCACCACAGGAGTGTTGCCATCCAGCAGTTTACAGGGGACACTACCTCGTGTAGTTACAGCCACCATGTCTGCTCCTCAGGCAGTGTAAATGTGGAGAGTAGCATATTGGTATAATTCTGTCTATTTTAATTTGAATATTGCTCTAGAAAACTTTGAAGATGTAGTAAGAGTTCAAAACCAAGTAGCTGCTTGGTTACCATGCTGTTTATCTGGTAAACTGTGTAGCTGTTGCTGCTTAAATCAGCAGGTGGTCTTCATCATGTGCTTGTAGTCCAGTGATGTCAATGTTCACATTGCAATAACATCTGCCTAGTGGTTGCTTTTATTAAAATATCAAAAATACTAGAGAAAAAGGTTTGTACAGAGGGCTTTACAGTTTTAATGTAAAACAGAACTGTGAACAAGACAGCTCTAAGTCATCTCTTTCAGAGGACCTTGGGAGATGAGCTACAAGTCTCCCCATTCTGAAAACTGGGGGCATCCCAATCTGAATGCAGTCAGAAAGAGTGCCCAGAAACAGTTGCAAGTTGTGTCACAACCATGTTTTACTGTGCAGGTAGACTTATTTGTCCTTTGTCCTTTACTGCTGCTGAAGTTATTTTACATTGTGGCTCAACGTTTCCCCCCAGATGCACTGCTCAGGCCTGGCTTGGCACCCTGACGTTGCTACCCAGATGGTTTTGGCTTCAGAGGATGACAGGTTGCCTGTAATCCAGATGTGGGACCTAAGATTTGCTTCCTCACCACTTCGTGTTCTAGAAAGCCACACAAGGTATGAGTCTCAGGTAGCCTGCTGCTCCACAGTGTTTGCCCTCTTTGTTACTGCATTCCAGCTTCTTCAGACCACTAAGAAGTGATTCAGTTGCTCAGTTAACTGTGGAGGCAGTGATTGCAGCAGCAGGCAGTGTTACATGCTGGCTTGCTGACTAGCCAGCCCCTTAACCTGAAAGACTTGCCTTTTTGGGGCCTTCTGGTCTGAAGGAACTGCCCCTGTTTGTCCCTCTGCTCCCTCTTCCCCACCCCCCCAAGAAAAAACAACCCACACAATCATGCTGAAACACTGAAGTTGCTAGTTTCTTTCTGTGCTTTTTTGGAAGAGGAGATAAGGTGCAAACCACTAGTGTTGTAGTTAATTTTTCCTGAATAATAGCTTGAAGGTGCACCTGGGCACATCTTCACAGGTGGACATGTACAGTCTCTCTGCCCCTCAGTCCCCAAAATGCCTGAAATTCAAGTACAAGGCAAGATTGTGTTAAATTCTTGTCGCTCTTCAGTTGCTAGTGAAACTTCCTTATTGCCCAAAGCCAGCATTTGATTTGAGGCAGAGAGAACAGCAGTGAGTTTGTGTTGCAGCCTCTACTAAAGCTGCTGCCAGTGGTCCTGCTGACTTGAATCTCCTGCTAATTAAAAGGAGCTGACAAACTTTGTAGTCACTGACCTTACCTACATGTTTTCACACTGTATGTTAATGGTACTGCAGGCAAACAAACCATTTTGTTACACTGGTGTCCAGCTTCTCCTGCATGACTGGAACACTTAATTTTCAGGTACAATGGCTACACCTTTATACTTATTCATACAGAAAACAGAAAGCATCTGTTTCAGTAAATAAAGTGCTGATAAGATTGAAACCTTCTCTTGTAAAAGGATGGGGTGAGCTGGGCACTATGTGGTGCTCAGCTCATGCAGAAACTCACCTTATGAACGTGCTTTATTTCTCACCATTTGTGGGAATGCTCAGCTCATGCAGAAACTCAGCTTATGAACGTGCTTTATTTCTCACCATTTGTGTTGTGACTTTTCATGCAGGGGCATATTGGCCATTGCTTGGAATATGGCAGATTCAGAGCTGCTGCTCAGCTGTGGGAAGGATGCTAAAATTGTCTGTTCCAACCCTAGCACAGGCGAGGTACTGTATTCACACTGCTTAAAGGTCTGCTCAGGGGTGGCACAGTGACATGTGCAAAGCAGGTGTTGGTGTGCCTGCATTCCTGGGAATCATGCTTCTGTGGGATGTTTCTCCCTATCCTATGTACTTGTGTTTGGTGTGTGTCACCTTCTGAGCTTGTCCTGGTGCTGCAGGTTTCCTTCCTAGTGTTGCAAATGTTTGTCCTTCCTGCTTCTTTCCTGCTAAGTAGTGAGGTCCCTGCTCATTGTAAGGAATGGCCCCACTTAATCTTATTTACTTCCTACTTAAATGTCTGCTGCATAGATGGTGGGCTTTTATGTTCCCGGGCAGGAGAGGCTGTCCAGAGTGCAGATTTTAACTTGACCAATTTTCCTGCAAAAAAAACACCTTACTTTGAAGTCTGGACATGTCTTCATCTTGTGTATAGAAATACCAAGACTAGTTCTGAATTGAGCAAGCATAGTAGCACCAGGGAAGCAATTTCTGACCTGATCAGGTGCCTACCATGGCTTTCAGGCTGGTTCCCTGAGAATGACCTGTGCTAAAACTGAGGAAACAGAGTTGATGTTGAGCTGGCCCCCACTGCCTCTCTGCCTAGAGCAGCCTGCTGCATGGTGCAGGACCTCTGAGTTGTTTGTGGTTCTGAATTCTCTTCCTCTTTTGGGCAGGTGAAGCTGGGCCTGGTTTTTTTGTAGGTCTCTAGTGGGGTTAATAGGAGGGGTGAGCTTGGTCAGTTGTGCCTCCATAAGCCTGTGAGATACAAGACATGGAAGGAGGCATTTGAAAAGGGGAACATAAAATGCAGTTGGGAACAAATCTGTAGCTTCTGCTGTGATGGAAATGTTCTCTATATCAGCTGCTGCCTTCCTGAAGCAAAGCACTGGAATGCAGTCAGCACATGGAGCCTTTTTTCTTAGAGATTTGCCCATTAAAAGAGGAGTGATTCATGACCTGGTGTTATGATTTCCTGTGCCCTACACATAGTCCTGAATGGATGGGCTTGCTTGGTTTCAGCCGGAGGGTGCCCATTAAAAGAGGAGTGATTCATGACCTGGTGTTATGATTTCCTGTGCCCTACACATAGTCCTGAATGGATGGGCTTGCTTGCTTTGAGCAGGAGGGTGAGACTGACAAATGACTCAGTACAACTGGTGAGACACTGGCACAGGTTGTCCAGGGAAGTTGTGAATAGCCCATCCTTGGAAGTGTTCAAGGGCAGGTTGGCTGGGGCTCTGAGCAACCTGGTCTAGTGGGAGGTGTCCCTGCCCATGCAGGGGGTTGGATCTAGATGATTCCAACCCAAGCCCCTCTGTGATTCTGTGATGAGCAGCAGCAGCTTGCAGTAGGACAGCCCAGACATACCCTGCCTGTGTAGTTTGTCCTGCAGACCAGTCTCTGGGCAGGCAGGAGAAGTGCTGCTGTTCAATGTGGTGCTTCATAAAAGCCCTGATTCACTGGGCTTGTTTTTTTTTGTTTCCCAGGTGCTGTATGAGTTGCCCACAAACACACAGTGGTGCTTTGATATCCAGTGGTGTCCTCGGAACCCTGCTGTCCTGTCTGCAGCTTCATTTGATGGGCGAATCAGCATTTACTCCATCATGGGAGGCAGCACAGATGGCTTGAGGCAGAAGCAAGTTGACCAGGTATTGAGAAACACTCAGCTAAGAATATGGACAGAAAAGTGGGAGGAAAGAAACATGGGCTCCCAGGAAGTCCTCAGTGGCTGTCTGTAGCCCTGCTTGCAGGAGTACCAGTCTTAAGCAAATAAATGCTTACATTCAGTTTATTGTACATATTTAACTTTTTTCCCCTCCTTGCACCCTTTTTTCATCAAAGCTTTCATCATCTTTTGGGAACCTTGATCCATTTGGTACAGGACAGCCCCTCCCACCCCTGCAGCTTCCTCAGCAGACCACCCCACAGAGTGTTGTTTTGCCCCTGAAGAAACCACCCAAATGGATCCGGCGACCCGTGGGAGCGTCGTTCTCGGTAAGCAGGAGACAAGGCAGGGCATGGTTGGCCAGGCAGGGAGGGAGATACTAGTGGAACCTGCAAAACACTGTAGGCAGAAAGGAGTTCAACATTGTGCTCCACCTTGGGAGAACTTCCTGCTCCTTGTCATGGCAGGAGATGCTTGCTGTAGCTTCCAGACTGGGCGGTTGGGACAGCAAGCCAGCAAATGTGTGACACAGATCCCTGGGATGAGGAAACAATAATGTGTTGTGTTGCCTACAGGCACTTTTCTCTTGGGGCTTTGTTTTATTTCTATGCAGTGCTTGCTTTGTAGTAAACATATATGTTGCAAAGGGGGAACAGGACCGAACTGAGCAAGTATCTGAGACTTGAGTGCATTTTGAAGCTATTAAGTGAATCACTGTGGTGAAGGATACTCAGTTTAGGTCTGATCAAGGTAGCAGGAGTTGCTGTAGCAGCACATGGCTGGACTCCTCCATGGCTGGTTGATATGCAGAGGAGCCAGCTGAGAGGGTGGCAAGGTCATGCTTTTGAGAAAGCAGAGTCATCTGCTGTTTGGCTCCACATTTCGCTTATTTTCCAGACCTACAAACCATTTCTCAGGAAAGAATCCTGAATATTTTAGCCTGTCCTCTTGAAGTGGATTTCTTGGCTTGATTTTCAGCATCATATGTCTGCTTATTCACAATCTGATAAACAAATTAAATGCAGGTTTCTTCCTCCTCGAAGAGAAGTGATGTTGTCTAGACACTGATGTGTCATTTTACAGTAGTGTTTGTTCCTTTATTTGTTCTGGTTTGCCAGGACCCAGCTGTCAGTCTTTTTCTTGGCTAGGCTTTGTGCTTTTTGTAATGCTGACTGTGTAATTTATCAATCTGGACTGTGTAAGTTAACTTGAATTATAGAATGAAGCAATATTATAAGCCCCTTCTATTTTTTTTTTGTTCTGTTGATTTCATTGCACTCCAAATGATGACACAACTTACTGGCCATTTCTCTGTAGGCTTTTAACTTTTACACACCCTGCCAAGAGTGAGGTAGACATCATGCTGGAGCATTAATTTAATGGTGCATATGTTTCTTTGCTAATTACAGTGCATTATCATGAGATAGTCCATTTGTGCTGAGCACTATACAGACCCACAGCTCCAGCTCACAGTTTCCTGAGGAAAAAGAGGCACAGCAGTAACTTTGCTCATCAATCTTATGAAATGTGCACCCACTTATCCAGCCTTACATGTGTATAACTATGGAGTGAAGGAAAAAAAATAAATCAAGGAGTTGATGTTAGGAATGTTTCTCCACTGGGCAAGAAGCACTGTATAAAATCATGTACACATGTGTGTAGGAGCGTGCTTTTTATGTACTCTGCAGTGTCTATTTGTGTTCTTACATCCTGCTTGTGTGCCTCAATTCCAGTTTGGAGGCAAGCTGGTTACATTTGAGCATGCCAAGTCTCAGCAGCAGCCAGGCATGGAGCAGCAGCAGCAGCATCACCTTGTCTACGTGAGCCAGGTGGTTACAGAGGAGGAGTTCCTGGCCCGCTCCAACCAGCTGCAGGAGGCTGTGCAGTCTGAAGGCTTTGTCAGCTACTGCCAGAAGAAAATTGACATGGCCCCAGCTGACTTTGAGAAAAATGTGTGGGCCTTCTTAAAGGTAACGAGATAACAGCAGCTCAGGAGATCCCCTCTTGAGTTGGAAAGACAGTGCAGAAATGGTTCCTTCTGCTCACTGCAGTGTTCTAGCAGAAGAGATCCTGGGAACCAAAAGTGTAGGCTGTGGGAATAGTGCCCATAAGCACTACTGCACTATAAGCACTGTTGTTGGAGGTGGCCCATCAGAAGAAAGAGGGTCCACAGGACCAGGGGTGTTTGTGGGAAATCATGGCAGAAGCCAAGGCTTGGGGGTCAGGTATCCTGTGGTTTTTTTTGACATCTGCATCTTTGTGCAGGGCACTGGGGGGAAGAGATAAAGCTTTGGGATAGCCTCAGATATGCTTTTCACTGCTCTCTGTGAGCATTGAGAGGTTTCACAGTGAAGCAGAAAAGCAAATTCTTCGCCTACAATAACCAGATTCAAGCCTTGGGTGCCCAAGTCACTGAAGACCTTTTCAGTTATCTTTATTGTACTCAGTCTCCATAGTCAGTAGCTCTCACTGAGTCATTTGTACAAGTAAAAAGCCAGTGAGGAAGAAAATGAAAAATGATGAATTGCAATATATTCTTAAAACTTTTCTTTTGTAAAGGCAAACTTTGAAGAAGATACACGTATTAAATACCTCGGGCTCTTGGGGTACAAGAAAGATGATCTGAGGAAGAAGGTAAATGTGCCTAGAAGCCATGCTTGTGTTAAATGCTTTACTGTAGCTGCAGACAGCTGCCTAAAATGTTGAAGATGCCTTGTGTGATTGACATAGTTATTTACCCCTAGGACTGCTGCTGTTGCTCAGGGTTTGATAGTCCTTGTGCTTGGAGAGTAGCTGGGAAAATGGACATAGCTGGATTGAGTGGCCTGAAATGCTGGGCCTCTACCCCATTATTTCAGTATTTGAGGAACAGATTTGGGAAGCTGCTAGGCCATGTTTTCATGTAGCTGTTAACTGTATTCTGTGATCAACTCACAAAGCCACTTGTTATTCACATTACTGGTATGTAAAAAAGGATCACAGCTTATTCCAAGAAGCTGGAATCTGTTAAGAACATGGTGGTTTAGTTTTGATCATCTTAAAACCTGTGATTGTCTTATGTAAGTCAAGTCCTAGATTTCTTCTTTCTGTTGTAAACTAATAGAAAAAAGAAAAAGTTAATCCAGCCATTTGGCTCAGTTTTTAGTGAAAACCAGACTACAGGGGCAAAATAAAGACTGCCATACTAAAAGCAGTAGATAAGATGAGCAGCATAAGGAAACCCAGGCTCCCAGATGCCAAACTAATCTATTTTCTGCATATATTCAAAACTCTGTACATTGAATCGGTGTCTTTGAGGGCCCTGACTGAATCTGGAGTCATTATTTTCTCTGCAAAGGAGTAAAAGCTGAGTATTTAAACTCTTCCATACCCTGGAAGATCTTAGCCCACAACCATCTGACTGCTGTGCTTGAAACCACAGCTTCCTGACAGGCTTCCTTCTCCACAAGGATTGTCATGACTTCATTTTCCCCAAGCAGAGCAGATGGTGTTTTGTTTTGCATGCTCTTGCACTATTTTTATTACTCTGGTTTCCATCAGCTCTAGTGAAGTTTGAGGCCCTTGAGTGTTAACAATTCAAGGTTTAAAGGCTTAAAGTAGCTATTGTACCCATTGAAGCTTGAGGTGCAGGAGGCAGAGCCAGGCTGGGAAAGGAGATGGCCTGAGTTTCATGTCAGCTGTTCTGTAAGCAACATAACAGCTCCACATTCTGGTTTTGGAGTCTGACAGATGAGTAACAGGTCTGCCCCTCTAAAATAAAAGGCCACTGAAATTGTATTTCTTTTCTAGATTACATCCACTATGAATAAAGAGGGTCTTGCAGATGCTGGCATGGGAGAGGTAAGCAAACACACGTGTGCAACTTGGTGAGTAGCTTTGTAATGCCCTGTTCATGTGCAGAGCGAGAAGAATTTTTTTTCCCCCATTCCCAATGAAAGGCTCTTGGCTTTAGTGCAGGGTCTCAATGATGTCCCTCCATCTTTCCTTCTTGCAGCCTGTGTCTTGACCACTTTGACACTTTGTGCTGCCTGTGAGGTAGGGCAGAGCCTTGCTGCCTGGCAGCTGGTTTCAAAAACAGCACCTTCCCCAGGCTTCAAAAAAAGCAGG